CTGTTACCTCCCCACCTCTTGCTTTCCTGCTCAGCCTTTGCTTTCCTGCGGGTCTCTGCAGCCTCCCGGTGCACCCTGCCAAGAAGCGGAAACACTCCGAGTCACCCCCCAACACCCTCAATGCACAGATGCTCAACGGGCTGATAAAGCAGGAGCCAGGTATGGGGTCCGTGCCACTCAACCCTGACAGAGTCCAAACGCCTCCCTGGCACCAGCCGGGAGCGCTTTCACCAGGTACGTGGTTTTTGTCCCCCCCCGTCCCTCTCTCCCTTTTAGCATGCAAACCCCCGCTGCAAGCCCGGGCACCCCGCTGGGCCAGGGTGCTTGGGAGGAGGGCACGTGGGCACCGCAGGGTGCCAACCAGTGGGGCTCACCCTGGCTGGGGAGGAGGAGAGCAGGGCGGGGAGTTCATCCCGGCCCAGATCTCGTGCCCGTGGCGGTGCCCTGGCAGTCAGGCAAGCTTCAGGCTGGCCGCACAGACAACGCCGGTCGCTTCCTTGTGCTCTTACCCAGCTGGACGCTCTGTCGGAGTCGTTGAAATTGGTCTTTTCCCCTCACCGCAGGCCTGATTCAAGATAACGACAGCTTGAACGGCTCCTACCTGGATCCCAACTACCAGTCCATCAAGTGGCAGCCCCATCAACAGAACAAGTGGGCAACTCTGTATGATGCCAACTACAAAGAACTGTGAGTAATTCGCCCGCCTTTGAGGAAAGTCAGATTCACCTTTCGTGTATCGGTGGCAAGGGACTGGGGTTGGGGGGATCACACTCACAAGATGGGGCAGGGATCTTCCTGGGCTCCCCCTTGTCCTCTCCTATCACCCGCTTGCCTGCACTGCGGTGGAGATACTCTCCCCACCGTCCCTTTGCCGCTGGGGAAGTTACTTCTCTGCACTTCTGCAGGGCTGGTGGAGGATTACGAAATGGGGCTGGCTCTGTAGGAGCCAGCAGAAGGCAGGTCAGCAGCTTTGGTGGCAGTTCAGCAGCCACCCGGACCTTCGTCTGCTGCGGAGGGTTGTATTGGCAAATCCAGCCTTGCCCTGAGCATGGTTTGGCCCAGCGGCGCCCTTTCCTGCTGCCCAGGCGTATCAAGGTCCTGGATTTTAAAAAATAAGTATTAGGGTTTACTAGACAATGCATAGCATGGATGACTGGAGGTAATCTAGAGCCACTTCAGCACGGCTTGAGAGCAGCACAAAAAGGAGCCTGAGGAGGAGGAGTGGGAGTGGTTGATGGGCACAGGAGGAAAGGGGGAGAGAAGGAAAGGAAGAGGGAAGGGGTTGAGGAAAGCTGGGAAGCCAGGAGGGGCAGCGAGGTGGCAGAGAGGCAAGGGGAGAGGGTGCAGAGGAAAGCTGGGGGGCAGAGAGTGGCTGGGGGGGG